ACCAAATTTGGTATCAGGTGATGTGAATAGATGGCAAAAGTAAATGACACGTCCAAACGTGATAATCATGACATGGAAGTCGTGTACGGCATAACTTATCACGGCCTCGTGAAAGTGTGCTGATTTTAAAGTGACATATCAACCATACAATTTCGTGCTTCGAATACCATCGATTCCCACTGTACGTGGGGTATGCCTTTTTTTATTTCATCACCCAAATGACGTTGAAAAAAATACACACAGTCTGAAAACAGTGAGTTCCTTCAACGGGAGTTGAACCAAGGACTTCTCTTTACGCGACAGCAGAAGCTATTCACTGCGCCATCCACAAGCTATCTACTGCGCCACGGTAACACAACTGTACAGGGATTAAAAGCACGCCTTGTATATATACCACCGCTCTCCTGCAGTGATTTTGAAAACGTGAAATAATGCATCAGCGAAAGCCAGCGAAACGGCCGCGAGCGCACCATGAGCGTAGCATGGACTCATGCTGGTGCTTGTATGACCCGCATCTCATGTTTATCATGTCTGCACCAGTATCACACCTTCGTTATCTATTCACGTCCCATAATACCAGCTTTGGTATAGTGAAGGTAGCGAAACTGCCACCAGCGCATCATGAGCATGGCATCTAGTCATGATTTTACATTACACAGATCTCGTGACAACGCCTCCTAGAAGAACTATGCCGGGAACGTCGCTCTCTTTTCAATTGGGAGCTTCCTGCCAGCACGCAATCTCGGAGGCCATACCTTCTGCCTTGTGTTGTGACCAGCCGCCGCGTGAGACCACTCGCCTCCGTACCACTCAGTCACGTGACATAACGGTACAGTTCTGTCATGTGAGATTACGGATGCTCGGAGGCAACTGTTAGAGCATTGCTGTGTTTGATGGGGGCGGCCGTTGGAGACGCTTGCCTCCGTACCGGAGGCGTAGGGTAAGATCAGAGGGTAGGGCAGTGCATTCGCGACTCGAAGGCCATACCTTCTACCTTATGTTGCGACCATCGCCGCGTGAGACCGCTCGCCTCCGTACCACTTAGTCACGTGATATAGCCGTACAGCTCTGTCATGTGACACTGCGGCTGCTCGGAGGCAACTGTGAAAGCATTGCTGTGTTCGCAGGGAGCGGCCGTCGGAGACACTCGCCTCCGTACCGGAGCGGAGGGTAAGATCAGAGGGTAGGGCAGCGCGTTCGCGACTCACTTTCCAGGCATAATTTTTTAGGAAGCGTTCCTCGTGATTATCATGCTTGAACCAGTCACATACCTTCGTCATTCACTCACGTACCGTAGTACAAACTTTGGTATATGTGAAGCTATAGTGAAACGGCCGCGAGCGCATCGTGAGCTTGGCATGTAGTCGTGTTGTTATATGACACCCATGTCGTGATTTTCAGGTTAGGGTCGGTCGCTTGTGTTTGGCAAGAAATCATGTCATACCATACCTGTTTCGCAACATGCCATGTGAACGAAACCACTGCATGAGCTGCAGGACGATGAATTGTAAATGATGACATTCATGACAAACATATCATAATTTTGATGTTATGACTAGACAAATACGTTCTTTATACAGTCATTTTATGCCTTACGAAGTTTGGTATTGATACCATTATCAAAACGCCGCGGTGATTTAGTGGCTGAGGTACTCGGCTCCTGACCCGAAGGTCGTGAGATAAAATCCCGGCTGCGGCGGCTGCATTTCCGATGGAGGCGAAAATGTTGTGGGCCCGTGTGCTCAGATTTGGGCGCAAGTTAAAGAACCCCATGTGGTCGAAAGTCCCGGAGCCTCCACTACGGCGTCTTTCATAATGATATGGTGGTTATGGGACGTTAAACCCCACATATCAATCAATCAATACCATTATCGAAATGGTCAGGAGAGCTAAAAGTCATAAGCGGCTAGATAGATAGATAGATAGATAGATAGATAGATAGATAGATAGATAGATAGATAGATAGATAAATAGATAGATAGATAGATAGATAGATGGATAAATAGATAGATAGATAGATGGATAAATAGATAGATAGATAGATAGATAGATAGATAGATAGATAAATAGATAGATAGATAGATAGATAGATAGATAGATAGATAGATAGATAGATAGATAGATAGATAGATAGATAGATAGATAGATAGATAGATAGATAGATAGATAGATACGCTCAAAGTTGCCGAAGTTTGCTTAGAAATGCTTCGCATTTAAAAGGCGCAACGAGCCTGGCGTTTCCTCTAACTCGAATAGGCGCATTGTAGCTCTAACAAGTTGCTTAAAGACGAACTTTGCCAAATTTTGTCGTACAATCAGGCACGCACTTCTTGCTGTCACATCGCCTTCTTCGGTTTTGTTCTCACCTTAAACTACTACAGCTACCACATGTACGCGTAAGCGCAAGAGCTTGTTTAATCATTAATCATGAAGGGTAGTTGTTGGACGAAGAGGTATCACTAAGCATGAACTTGGGTGCATCTACGTTAGACAGTGACTTAGCTCTCAAAATCCAACAGACATGATCTAATTCTAGTATCAGATAGTTTTAGTTTAGTCTGTTTCACACTCCGCTCAGCAGCTAAACGAGCAGGAACACGAGTGCGAATGTGCCCTCCATGCGGTCTTAAGCGTGTTAGCGGTGCGAGGCGCACATCCCGCTTACGAGCTGGCTAAGCAGAACGTCACTGCCATTTTCGCAAATGGAAGACACAGCGCCCTTCTTTTCTCGTACTCTGGAATGCAACCTAGCTGGCTCAAAACTATCTTCAAGTCGACCCATTATTTTATTGCGATAGCAAATATACGGACACTCTCGGCTAGATTTAACCGCCGACGTCAGCGTCAATGTAGGCGTAGGCGTCGATGTCATGCATGGTATATTTATACGTATTCATGTGTATGAAAACGCAAGAAAGAAAAAATTTTAAAAAAATTGCCCCGTATCTTCATGTTAATCTGCAAATGTCGTCAAAAGACGATAGTCTTGCGCGCGGAGAGAGTGAACAAAATATTTATTTGATGTTCTACGCAAGAAAATTGGTGAATGGTATTCTAGATGCGCTGCGTTAGAGTGTCTCGAGCGTGCGGCGGAGGCGAACGAGCGCATCAAATCACGTCTCACGTAAGACGTGAGCGCCATCTGGCAGTTTTCTTGGAAAACGAAGCGCATAGCCCTCAGACAGGTGTACGCGCCCGTCTAAGAGATGATGTGGTGTAGAACGCAAGACGACGGATAGGTGCCACTGCCGTCTCGTCTTAGCAAAGCGTTGCAAACACTTGCCGTTTCGTGCAAGCGTTGCATGGTCAGCGCAGCGCGACAAGCGCTATAGTCCTTAAAATTATTTATGTTGCGTTTTCGAGTAAAAGGCGAACATGCAGAATATATACGTGTTGTAATGGCGCCCCAGACATGCGCAATATTTTCTTTTTAATTGACAATTACTCAATTATGAACGCTAAACCTTGAGCAACATTGGTGGGTGCTGCGGATGGGGTCCACCGTTTCAAGTACCCGGTGCCATTAATAGTGGAAAAACAGACAAATGTACACACATACAGACACATAGATCGACCAAAATTTTTGCGTCGAAGGTCCCCAAAAGAGACTGTCGGCTTGAAAAGACTCCGGCACGCGGAATCGAACGTGGGGCCTCCGCGAAGTGAATGCGATGCGGTAATCACTGAGCCACCGAGGGGTACCTGCTTCAAGGTTCTAACGGCAAGCTATTTATATCTACCACTTACCGCTGTTGGTGGGCATCTCGGTAAGGGTGGATATCGTGGTTTCTGCATTATCAGCAAGACGGCGCAATGAGCGCGCGGCGGCTCTCATCTCTCACGCGTGCTTTGGCCCGCGGAGAGCAGGGGAGTTCCGATCTCTCACGCGCCCTTATCTCCTGGTGGGCAGGCTCATACGCATTGGCTGGCGGCGTTGGGCTTGCACTGGAACGATTTTGTTGTAGTTACGTGGTGCACAAAGGTGACTGCAATCGTTGCGCACTCTACGTTTGCGGCAAGGGCGCGCTTTTCAGGCAAAGTGAAGCAACAACTGAGACACTTATTCGAGTTCTTATGTAACTGTGAGTACGTTTAGCGCGTAATTTGTGCGAGAGAAAAGCGGGACCCGTTTTGATCTGCTTGCCATTCTGCGCATGACCTTCCAATTTGTTGCTATCGCATCCACGGTTCGCCTTTGTGGCAAAGCTGTGACTTTTTCTTCGATGAAATAGACTGGTGACACATTCCAAAAGCAAACCTGATTATTTCATGCACAATTGTGTTATGGATACTCCTCTTACTTTAAAAAAGTATTCCCTAATTTTTTTTAACAAGGCTGAACTCGCCAGAGGACGTTGTAACTGGGAAAGCTCCCTTCGAACGGAAAACACACGTATAAAACGAGAAAATTGTCTGCCACTCCACTGCTGCCTAGTGGGTCACCTCGGTCCATAAAAACGTAAACGTCAAACTAAACCTCTCTATCAAATTAAAGTAAACACTAAACTATTTCTGTAAGGAGACGTCTTACTTTCGTGCTATAACGCTTCGTATGATCACGGAATCAACATTGTTTTTTTTGCTCCTTCATGCTACACCGCAGCGGTATTATGTACAGGTAAAAGTGATCATCGATGTAAAGAGTGTAATGTTTGTGATGAAATAAAAAAATTCAAACTCAAGCTCGAAAGCAGTTTATTTACAACAATGACTATTCTCTCATAACAGCATTATTTAAACATTCGTGCCTAACTTTGTCGAAAGCAAGTCTAAAATGAATTTCCATAATCAGTTATTTGCTTATCGGTACGAAATGTAGCGTGAAACACGCCAGGACAAGGTTTAAAAAAGAAACAAATGTTCAAAGCTCTTGAGTTCACTCTGTTTCATCAATTGAAAACGTACACAATTCGAAAGCTCTTGAGATTATCATGTTTCACCGATTTATTACATACAAAATTTAAGTGCTCCTGAATGTGCCTTGTTTGTCGATTTTCCAGGACCTAGCATGACTATCGACACTGCCTGCTCGTCAACCATGGTAGCCCTAAGTGAAGCCCTGCTCGCGATAAGATCTGGACGCTGCGAGGCAGCCATCGTGGGAGGAGCCGGCCTCACCCTTGATCCTCATCTGATGACAAACTTTAACCTGCTGGGCATTCTCTCGAAAGATGGAAAATCCAGGCCCTTCGATATAAAGAGTGAGACCTTCATGGAGTGTAGAAATTGTGAAAGAGATATGCAAATACTAGCAAAGGGCATAGAGACAAACGAGAGTACATATTCTGTTCTCGGTGTTGGATATGTATTTTAGAAGGAGAAGCAATTATTATCACGTAGTTGCGCTACCCACGTATTCTGAAACGATATTTTTCTAGTAATTACTTAGAGACAGAGAAATTCTTCGAAAGAGACGAGCACAAAGAACAGTCATCCAAGTACCGCTTCGTAGAACTTCCTTATGTGACTGCTACAGGGATGTATGCTGTACTTGGATGTATGCAGGCATGTCTACAGAAATGTACGCTCTACTGTGTTTGACTACAAAAAAACAATCATAAGATTACCATGGTAGTCTACCGTACTTATTCATATTCTTAGTCTGTAATTCATGGTTACTTATGCCCGGATATAGAGATGGTTTCACAGCTTGCTCAGTAAGCATTCTCATTTATTCGAACTTTTATCTTTCAACTAATTTTTAAAATAATTTTTGTTTAACAGTCCACTACTTGAAGCGTCCCGCCGCCAAACATTTGGCTCATTTCCCTTTGAGAGTGAGCGCCATCTCTATGAAGTCATCATGATCATCGTCATCATCAAGCACCGGAGCTACTAATGAATGTTTATGGTGAAAGATGCCCAACAAGTTGTGAACGCACTGTCGCACATGCGCGGTTACACTCGATAACGGCACCTGAAAAACAACACAAAATTAGTGATCAAAAAGGCGTCTGCACAAAATCGTACAAATGAAAGCAGTCCTATCAAAGGCTCACTGGCACCGGTAAAGTTATTCTTTCTTAGGAAGAAATCTTTTGACTGACAGGTCAGTGCAACCATTCCTACGTCCAAAAATCTTGGTGTCTTGGAAACGGGGCTTACAATCGCATTCAGTACCACGTACATGCATGGACGTGCTTTCTCAAACCTTTACTTTTGGGGCGTGCTTTCTATGACGGTTGTTAATGTAACACCCTGTTTGGCCAACCTAATTTTTTCGACAGGTCAGTGGTATAGAATAAATGACTGCGATTGATCGCTTATTCGAGACGAACTCGTGTATGGCAGCCTCATTAACCTCAACCACAGATATGAGGACAAAGCTTTTGGTGACAAAAAGGCAGAAGACTAGAGAGCAACAACAGAAAAAGACACACAAAGATAGAGAAAGAGTAAAAAAGGTGACAGGCACTATTTTTTTACGTTTTCTATGTGTCTTTATATGCCACTATAGAAAGGGATAGAACAGTATATAAAAAATAGGCACAGAGAGGAATAGATAGAAATACACAGACGCAAGAAAGACGCAAGAGCAAAAGCTCCATTAAAAAGAACTTTTGAATAGGGTACGATATTTATTATTCATAACTAGCTCTGCAATGTACATCATCATCGCACAAACATCCACATCAAAATTGTATGCATTAAGTTTATTGCTGATGTCTCAATCGATTGATTTGTGGGGTTTAACGTCCCAAAACCACCATATGTTGTCTCAATCGATTCCAAGAGAGTGTTGTTATGGTCTTGTGTGCACTCCGTACCGTAGTCTGCGTTGTTTCGCCACAGTTGTTATCACGGCTCCTGCTATTAGTACCGGTAGGTGATTTGGTTTTATTTATAACATTTCTGATTAAGCTTGCGATTTGTATTGAGATTATGAGCGTGCACGTGTATTTAGTATTGCACACCCTAATGACTTGCAGAAACCAAAACCTGCGTGAAGAATTTTACCGTTTGCCCGCAGCTCCTTTTCACAGAAAACACCGTACTTTGCAATGCAGGCAACGGCTACGTTCGCAGTGAAACTGTAGGCGCAATCTTTCTTCAAAGATATTCCGACGCCCGACGTATATACGCCAGGGTCATCAATGCCATTGCGAATGCAGATGGATTCAAGGAAGAAGGTGAGTTGGTGCAATCACATAAATTGTCATACTGTGTCGGGAGCGCATACCGCCAATGTTGAGAAATGGTGCAGGCACTGTGCGCTCGACGCACATGCAGAAAGGAGGATTGAAAGAGGAAGAACAGGGAGGTTAGCCAGTTCTCAGACCCACATGCAGAAACTTACACGCAACGATTAGAATGTGCCCATTTCATTGTTCAGCACCCATTGTAGTCACCCATAGCCGGTTCAGTTGGCCTCTGTCTACGGGGTATCCTTTAATAATGCGTTCCAAATTTACTCCAGGGAACTGTATGCGCCGCGCTTTAGGAAGCATTTATATGGTATTTTAGAGCGAGAGCTGTTACTTGATCACAAAGGTCACGTGCGCCGTAGTTATTTGCCGCCATCGCCGCCGGTGTCCGTAATCACTACCGCAGAAAATAAATAAAAATTAACACCATTTCCCGCTAAAGGGAAACGTGTATATACAAAGCTGTGAGCGCTGATGCTTATACACTGGCGCTGGAGTTCACGCTGGCGCTCATCACGGCGTTGCATAGGGAGGCAACCGGGGGAGGGGCAAAGCCCGCACTGATAGGCCGATATTTCCTAGTGGAACATGCTGCTAATGGGCAATGGGAGACAGAAGACTATGACTAGAAGACCGCAGTCTGCTTTTAAATGAAGCACGAACTGCGAATTTTACTGTTTACCTACGCGCAAGAGAAACTCCTACCTGCATTACCTTGGAGGCCAGGATCCAGTGCCTATATATACGGTGTGACCAGTGAACGGCTTTGCAACGTGAACAGTCAGTGCTTTCTATCAAAGTACTCGCTAGCGGACGCTGCCTGCGTCGTCGTTGCGAGGCGAGGGAAAGGAAAGGTGTAGGAGAAGACAGACAGCGGAAGGGGACGTGCATGCGCATAAGGGTGGTCACGCCACACACCGGATTTAGCTTGACCATACGAAGCTTCGAATCTAAAGGAACTAAGTCAAAAAAATTGCCCGCAGCTTCCCTCGGGGGAACACTGAGGAGGATGCGGAGCATATAATTGGTTAAAGGGGTGTTAAAGTGCGACTTACTTGGGTCGATGGCTAAATTGGTTAACGTGGTTGTGAAATGGGGTGTTAAATTGCGACTTACTTGGGTCGCTGGCTAAATTGGTTAACGTGGTTGTAGGAGGGGTGTTAAATGAGTGAACACGTACGACACGTATGCGAAACGACGGTGTTTATTTATTGCGACGAACTTTGAGCGGTTCCGCCAACACTTTGGCCGGCGCTGGTCGAAGGGACGTCGATCATTGCGACCTCGGACGTCGACGCGCCGTACAAACCAACCGACGAGCGGCAACTGAGCGGGCGAGCACCGACCTTGGGTATATATACAGCGCGACGGCGCATGCACTGTCAGCTGTCGAATGTTCGAGAAGGGGGAGAAGCGCAACGGCGCACGCGCGCGCGTCAGCTGCCGATGTTCTCGAAGCGCGACGGCGCATGCGCGCGCGTCAGCTGCCGATGTTCTCAAAGCGTGACGGCGCATGCGCGCTACATTATACAGCTAGCGAATGTTCGTGAAGAGGAGAAGCGCACGCGGTGTGTAGAGGAGGAAGGGTGCACAGATGGTGGAGGAGTGAAGCGCGCGCGGTGTGTAGAGGAGGAAGGGCTGCACAGATGGTGGAAGAAGGAGGAGGAAGCTTGCGGACGGCGCCGCACTACAAGCCTCGAGTATTAGATGCTCCGCATCTAAAACACCAACAATCTAATGGCATTTAAACCGGGGTCCCCTGCGTGCCAGCCCACTATTCTACCTCAGAGCCACGCTTGTGCTGGAACCTACGTTGCAAACTGCCCCAAGGAAGGCTTGACGACGGGAAAGGAATCACAATAGTATGAATGGAAAAGTGCTTTAGACCAACAAAGAAACCACCAGACGACACACATTGGGAATTTCGTAAGGAGTAGGTTGTCGACTGAATGAACCCATTAAAAAGCTTCAGGCGTGATTCAAATCGCCTGACTCCATCACCCGCCACAGCATCAAAAAAAAGGTACACAAAATAATTTCGAGCATGCAGCTGGTACAACACTTAACCGAAGAATGAAGAAAGATGGCATAGTGGATGCCTCCCTACTGCACAAAAAAGTAGGATGGTTAATGGCGTAGGGAGTACCCACAAGTTTGCTTGTAGCATTTACCCAAAGGAACGATTTCTCCTGTGTCTCCTCTGTACTGAAAAGAAAACCATTAGTCAGTACTTTATATTTTGTCGCTCATTCATGACCTTCAGGAAAATATTTATCGTACCACTTGTTAGAAATATAGGTCTGGGAATATCAGAATGAGGTATTTAATTACCGACCTTCAAAGTCTGTAACCACATCATGACGTGCTCTGCTGAGAACAATATTGCGCATTTTCAAGGCGCCTAGCGCCTGCTTGTTTTATTGCGATACATATTATATGGACATTTAGGCTGAATATCGCCAACAGCGTCTGCATCGAGGTCATGCATTGTATATGTATACGTATCTATATGAATGAAAACACAAGAAGGAGAAAATCCAGGAAAAGACTACAGTATGCGGAATCAAACGTAGTACCTCCGCGTCCTTAATGCCAGGCGTTAACCACTAAGCCACCGAGAGGTACCTGCTTCAATGTTCAAACGGCAAGCTATTTATATCAACCACTTACCGCTGTTGGCGGGCATCTCGGGGAGGGGGGCGGGGGGGTATCGTGTTTTCAAAATCATCAGATAGATTGCGCAATGAGCGCGCGGCGGCTCGCATTTCTAATGCGTAATTTGGCCCGCGGGAACGAGGAGAGTGGATGATCTCTCGCGCGCCCTTATCTGCCGGTGGGGAGGATCATACGCCTTGGCTGGCATTTGGCTTGACTGGAACAATTATGTTATAGTTACGGGGCGCAAAAATGTCACTGAAATCGTCGCATACTCTCCGCTTGCGGAAAGGGTGCGCTTTCCCGGTACAGCAAAACTGAGACGCTTATTCGCGTTCACCTGTAACTTTGAGTACGTTTATTGCGTCATTTGTGCGTGAGAAAGGCGGGGCCCATTTCGATCTGCTTGTCACTCTGCGCGTGACCTTCGAATTTCTTGCTATCGCGTTCATTGCGTTGCCTTTGCGGCAAAGCTGTGATTTTTTTTTACTTGGTGCTGGTACGATCACACAAGTTCAATTAGGTCTTTGAAGATATTTACAGTTAATAAACAGATTGCAACTGTGGCAAGTGCTTCTTGCACCCTAGCCTTACAAAGCTTGTTCACATACTGGAGATGCGCGATATTTCGTTGAGGTGCTTTTTTTTCATGATGCCAAGAAATGGTTAAAATTATTCTGAGCACCCCTACCTCGGCTGCATGAATAAATGAACAAGTCACGGTTATGCTGACTGTCTTCACGAAATATATGAAGCGAAAGACGTTGCAGTGTTGTCACGAAAGAAACTAAATATATGAAGGGGCAGTTGAAAGTGAGACAATTTGAGTAGAGTAACACTGCGCATGTTTAATTATTTCAAATCAAAGCCTCTAAAGCACTAGACGACGGTTTTTATATTCGAAGGACGAAGAAATAGAAAAAGTGAATAACCTTATAACAATTATGTCAAATTATTACTCTTACATATCAACCATCAGCGCATGTTCACATTCTCCCCAGCACTTCATTCTATTAGTATTTTTCATGGAGTGGACAGTTCAATAATAAAGGATAGCGTTCACGGCTGCGTGGCTTACTGCTCTGCAAGAACCCCAAAAAAAGGTGTAAAATGTATCCTATACATTGTTTTCTCAAAAACTCTTTGTTTTGAGGTGATAAGCACACACCTTGTGTCTTCTTCTTAGCAAAAAATTGTCATTAGACTCTCTTTTTTTATATGTGACAGCAACACCTACAGCACTCGCTTTATATAGGCGCGTTGACTATTTAGCCTATTTAGCATAGTCCCTTACTCACTCTATTGCAAAGCCGTGTGTCCCAAGATAGTCACTGTGCCTTTCTTTTGAGAGCCCTACATATCCGACTCGTATGTATAAAAAGAAGAGTCAAAGTTACAAGAATTGGTGATAAAGATAGAACTTGCAGTGTCACCTGTCACGTCGCTATTGTGGCTCACCCCACCGTCGCTATCATTATTTTGTTATTCAGTGAAACGTACATTTTCCGTTTTCTATGACGGCCTATAGGTTATTAGGAGTGGTCATTCTCTTTTTTGGAGCTGACCGCCAAAATAAATTTAGTATGGTGGCTTGCTGAGTAGTCAAGAATTAAAATGTTGATGGATATTTGGAATGATTAGTTAAATGTTTCAAGCATGAAGCTGGCCTGAAGTGTTGCCTTAGAATATTCAAAATACAATACACCATAGAAAATTTACACTGCTTTACGCAATGGAACATTTTTGTCCCAAGATTTTACTCTGTGCCTAAAAATACCACAGTCAAACAATATTAACAAACAGACTATACTTCACTGTGCGACGCGCAGACGTGTGGTGGCGCTGAAGTCTGTATCGACTTGAAAGGTTGCAATGTTTTCAAGAAAGACGAATGAACATCAGAACAGAAAAAGGGTACAGAAAGCGGTCGCACTCTTATTGTGGAACGATCATTGGCTTACTGTTATGCAAAAAGCGAACAACAAAATAAGTAGTTATTACTTGATTGACCGGCTGCTAAGTCAATTGGCATGGCGAAAGCAATCGTTAAGTGATATGTCATATAAACTCAAAAACCAGAGTATCGCAGGAGTAAAAAGGCCGAGTTGTTCTTCAGAGTGTTGCTGTGCATTTACTAAGCACCTAATAGCATAAAAGCATTTTTCACGTTCTATGAAATGAGAGCGTTTCAGTGATTCATGTTATATCTTTCTGAGAGAGGCTGAAATGCTCATATACGCTTCAGACATCAGATTTCAAAACCTGGTTATACTCCTTTGCCGCATCTATATATCGATGTGTCAGCACAACGCGAGTGACTACCGCTCCTTAATTACGCCACATATAGGCAGTGAAGGGTAGTGTATTTGTTTTAGTGGCGTCGAGGATAACCAAGAAGGATAGCAAAGTTTACACTCCCTCCTAGTCAATTTCAGAACACTGCCTGGCCCTGGTAGGTCGCTACCATAGCAAAAACGTTGTACTGTAGCAGCTCAGAAGTCATGATTATAATTTTGGCATGTAGATATACGAGTGTTTACACATTGGAAATTTGAAACTGCTACATATAAAAATAATACAAAATTTCCGATAATGAAGGTTTGTCAAAATATGCATGTTGTGCCAGCAGTTTTACCCAATAAATAGTTCGGGCGACGTAAACGCGTATCTACAGGTACATATATGGGCATATTATCATATTCATTGGCTTGTTTGGCGCCGAAAACAGAACGCGTGACCGTAATGTTCTTAGCAACTTTTTAGCACAGTATTGTCCTTGAACATCAAATGCAGGTAGCAGGAAAGAAGGATGCTATGCTCAAAGAATGATGCGTCACAATTTGTAAAAAGTGTGCAAGGAGTGGCGTACGACATATTGCTGTCCTGTGCAGAGTCCTACATAGCGCAGACGGGCCGCTGCACTAATGGCCGGTTAAGGTAGTGTGTGCAAAACTATAAAGAAAGTAGATAATGGGCCGCTGCACTAATGGCCGGTTAAGGTAGTGTGTGCAAAACTATAAAGAAAGTAGATAACCTTCTTTCGTCACACTACCGAAAGTTCACAGGCGAGCCGACATCTCTTGAGGGCCAAGATAATACATGTATAGGCCGGAACAAATCATCTCGTCAACCCTGTGATACTCACCACATAAAGAAAAAAATAAATACCATGTTAGTGCCACGTCCATGTACTTGTAAAGAACAAAATAAGGTTTTGTTCTTATATTACAGCCCCGTAGCCCAATCAGTAGCGTCACCTTGATATGCGCTCGGTGTGTCAGCAAACCTTTGTACTGTACATCTCATTGCAGCATTTAGAAAAAACAAGTTGTTAATGCACCTAGACTTTTTGTTCCATGTAGTTGTCTTTTTAGCGCAGAAGTCACCATGTTATGTGATCATCAAATCGTCAACAACAACTTTTTATTATTGACTAGAGCCAATCACCTTCACAAAAGTCCGCTTACTCCACCAACGATGGTTGACGACAGAGACGAAAAAGAGTCATTCACATACACACACAAAAAAAAAACAGTAGGCTGACGCATGAGTGAGTGGCCTACTATTGTTCTTAGTTGTCAACTACTGGTCTTTCTAGTAGGTCTCGTGAATGAAAACAGTTGAAAGTTTCTTGAAAAAAAGCTTTGGGTTGTTGGAATGTCTGTTTAGGAATGTCCCCTCTGAAGATGATGTGCCGATCGTTTGCCCTTTTCACATATCTGAGACGAACAAAATATGCAAAGTAACCTATGCTTGATAAGGAAACTGCGTTAGCGCCCTACAACACCACGCTGGCCGAAAAATTCCGGAGATGACCCCCTAGATGTAGGGTGACTACACTACGATTGGAAACACTGCTGAGATGCAACACGTTGCGCTTCTGAGAATTTAAGCAAATGCCGCAAAGAGTGTGCTTATTCCCAGGTGTCCCATATCCGTCGGTAATCGGTCACGAGAGCCTTCTGCGAGACGCGTACTCCGAGGTCAACGTGGACCCTACGAAAGTTGTTTATGTGGAGGCACACGGCACTGGGACCAAGGCTGGTGGCATTCAGGAGTTGGAGGCAATCAGCAACGTGATTTGCTCACCCGGACGCGAGAAATCACTTTTGATCGGGTCGGTCAAAAGCAACATGGGGCACTCCGAGAGCGCCTCTGGTAAGGAAAATGAAGTGTCTTCTCATCAGCAGCTTTTTTTATTCATGTCACAGTAGGTCTTATTTTATTGGATTGTAGTGATAGTGTAATTGACAACAAAATTATTGATAATAACCATCTCTCTGACCTTCGTTCACACACTTACAAGGTACTAGACATCGTGTACCATTTCGAACATATAACTAAACAATAATAGGGGAAGCACATGCGCTTTTTGCGTAATTCCAATGATTCTTCTGTTTACCATATTAACAATGCTGGGCTAGAAACGGTCTTTTCTTTTATGTAGCACGGTGCTCACACTTCCTAGTATTTGTCCCGGAAAACCGACCTCAATAGAGAGAGAAAGAGATAAATAATTAAAATAAAGAGACAGGGAGGTTAACCTATATGAACTGGTTTGCCACACTGTACGGGGGTGAGGAAAAGGGTCGGAAAGAGGATAGATGTATCCTCTATCGTAATATAATGCTAACCGCATACATAGCTATCTTTGCAAAAACGTTTCTAATGGATCCTGTTCTATTAAAATTCATGCCTTACAAAACCCTGGTTCGCTCTATATATAGCATTCTCCATCTGTCTTGACTTATTGGTTGACGTCATTGATTCAGTCATTTCCGATTTCAAAGCTGTGCAGAACCGTGCCTGTCGTTTTGTACTTATCACCACACAAGTAGGGTAACCACAATAAAATTAGGTTTATGCCTCCTTCCTTTCTCTGATCACAGCTCTGTATCTTCATTACACGTGTTTCCTAAAATTTACTACAAATACATGAAAAAGAAATTACATAGAAGGCCTTAGTATATACCTACTCTTATCGATAACCGCACTAAAATGGCGATTCCATTTTGTCAAATGGAATGTTTTCATAGCTCATTCACACGCAGAACTAGTGTCAGTTGGAATGACATTTTCTATGGCACCAATATATAATGATATGCTTCCTAAAACAATAGCTCTTCTATGAATATATGTATGATTGTGATTGTCGCACAATTTTCTGTCTTACTGTTGAAATTTTTGTCGTATATTACCGCTACTGCTTTATTTCTTTATCTCAATGTGAGTTTTTGCCTTTCACTTGCATGGGTATTCTACTTTCACTCTCTATGAGTTGCTGCTTTTTCTACTTCTATGTATATATCCACTTTCCTCTGTAATGTCTTCGGGTCCTAAGGGTACTAATAATATCTATAATAACTTGATTCGGGTGCATGCACAACGGTAATATCTGGACCTAATTCTCCTTATAGTAGGCGACTAATTAGTGAACCTGAATAGTTTTCGGGAACTGACTGTGCGTCCATAATAATTTTGGCGCTTCTCATCCAAACTGGATGATAAATTTCGTTATGAATGCTAAAGGTAGCAGACTCTGTTCTGAATATCAACTAATAAAACAAAATTGACAAAAAAAGAATGCTAGGTGCTATTCGCACGAATAGGTCACAATGCGAAAGTAGAATATGTCTTCACAGTAGCTGTTTTTATGTATATGGGTAAGAAGGAAAACCGCCGCACTGTAATTTTCTAGTAGGTTGGTCTTCAGTCACACCCCCATACCTAAATTGAGACGTTTTGCAACTGTCCCTCAACCTACATTACCAGCCACCCAATCCAAATGCTTGAAATCTTGTGGCATACAAATAATTGGTTGGTGCGAACCAAGAGCATTTCATATGTGCACTTAGAGCATAGTCACCGCCAACACTGATGAATCTCCACACGCAACATCATTCTACAAACTTCTTCACTAGTTTTAGCCTTCGCGTGGACATCCAAAATACTACTATTTCTGCGTACTTAAAGCGGGATGGTGCCGGCGCGCAGAGGCTCATGAGAGGGTGTTTTGGATGTCCACTGGTGCACTAGAGCACGTCAGTTTTCTTTGTAGTATATAGAACAAAAAAAAAAAACTACGCACTGCTGTTTGTCTGGTCTTTTAAATGCGAAGCATTCCTTAGTAAACTTCGGTGGCTTTGAGCGTATCTATCTATCTATCTATCTATCTATCAATCTATCTATCTATCTATCTATCTATCTATCTATTTAGCTGCCTACGACTTTTAGCTCTCCTGGCCGTTTCGCAATGGCATCGATACCAAATTTGGTATGGCATAGCACGACTGTATGAAGAACATATGCGACTAGTGATAACATGAAAATGAAGACATGTATGTCATGAATGTCGTGATTTACATTTGATGGTCTTGCTGCTCTTGCGGTGCTTTCGTTCATGAAGCATGTTGCGAAACGGGTATGGTAAGACATGACTGCATGGCGAACACAGGTGAGAGACCCTATCGTGGAAATCATGACATAAATGCCATGTAAGTCATGAGTCATGACTGCACGCCACTCTGAAGATGCGCTCGCGGTCATTTCGCTCGTTTAACATATACCAAATTTCGTATTACGGGACGTGAATGAATGACATAGGTATATTACTGGTGCAGACATGATAGTCATAAGATGCGAGTCATGTTAGAACATGACTAAAGGCCACACTGATGATGCACTTGAGGCCATTTCGCTAGCTTCACATATACCAAGTTAGATGATACGGGACGTGAATGGATGACGAATGTATGTGGTTGGTGTAAACATGATAATCATGAGATGCGTGTCATGTAACAACAAAACTACATGGGACGCTCATGATGGGCTTCCGACTGTTTCGCTAGCTTCACACGTATCAAATTCAATATTGCGTGACACGAATGAACGACATAGGTAATTGACACGTCCAAACATGATAACCATGGCATGCTTGCCATGTAACAATATAACTACATGCCACACTCACGGTGCGCTCGCTACCGTTTCGATAGCTTCACATTAGCCAAATTTGATATTGCGTCATGCGAATGTATGACAAATGTATGTAACTGCTTCAAACATGATAATCTTGAGATGTGGATTATGTAGGAACATGACTAAACTTCACACTCAAGGCGCCAATATAGCTCGACGAGACCCGGCACGCGTGCTCAGCGGCTTTGGTTTCATCGCGTCACGCAGGTTATGCAACACCAGGCGCCGATCTGTCTGCGTGCGCCGCACTGCGTTGCTTTGACGCATGCGCGTTTGAGCGCGTCCGGCGTCCCTCCGTCACGAAGAGAGGCAGTGTTAGGTGCTCAGTGAGCAAACGCAGTGCTGTCCAGGTAACGTCATCGGCACGAAATGCAGTATGTCGCTTTTAGCGCCGGTTGCCACCGGGCCACGCCGACGAACGCTGGTTGCGTCGGTCGCGCCTGGCGTCACATATACCAAATTTGGTATCAGGTGACATGAATAGACGACGAATGTATATGAGACGTCCAAACATAATAATAATGATATACGAGTCATGCAAAGCATCACTACATGATACGCTCATAGCGTCTTCGTGGCCTTTCGACTAGTTTCAAATTTACTAAACTTGGTATTCCGTGATGTGAATGGACGATAAATGTAAATGGCAAGTCTAAACATGATAATCATCATGTGCGTGTCATGCGAATCATAACTACATGCTATACTCTTAGCGCGCTCTCGGCTGTCTTGCTAGTTCAACATATACCAAAGTCGGTATTACGCGACGTGCATAGACGACGAAGGTAAATGATACGTTCAAACATGATAGTCATGACACATTACATGGAAATCGTGTACGCGTAATTTACATCCGCCTCGTAACGTTGTGCTGATTTCAAAGTGACATATCAACCTTCCTCAATCGTGCTTTGCATATCTTCGATTCGCACTGTTCGGGGGATCTGCAAACTTTTTTTTTACTTCTATGCACTGTAATGCCGGATAGACTGGCGCTCTGCATGGTGCGGCCACACTCAGCTGAACTCACCTAAATATTGGTGGACACCGTACACAGCACCATGTATGTTTCGGCAAGAACCTTTGCCCTGAAATGCTAGTCAGTAACGCTGAAAAAAAATTGCCCGCAGCTTCCCTCGGGGGAACACTGAGGAGGATGCGGAAATTGGTTAACGGGTGTTAAATTGCGACTTACTTGGGTCGATGGCTAAATTGGTTAACGTGGTTGTGAAATGGGGTGTTAAATGAGTGAACACGTACGGCACGTATGCGAAAGGGCGGTGTTTTATTTATTGCGACGAACTTTGAGGACGATGGCTTAGGGACGTCGATCATTCTGTTTGTGGATTCGTTGGCATTCATTTCACGGCGACTTCGGACGTCGACGCGCCGTACAAACCAACGGACGAGCGGCAACTGAGCGAGCGAGCGCCGACCTTGAGTATATATACAGCGCGACGGCGCATGCGCTGTCAGCTGTCGAATGTTCTCGAAGGAGAAGCGCGCGCGCGGCACAGATGGCGACGGCGCGACGGCGCATGCGCTGTCAGCTGTCGAATGTTCTCGAAGGAGAAGCGCGCGCGGCACAGATGGTGGGCGACGGCGCGACGGCGCATGCGCGCGCGTCAGCTGTCGAATGTTCCAGAAGCGGTGCGGACGGCGCGGATGGCGCACTACAAGGCGCGAGTATAAGATGCTTCCGCATCTAAAAGTAGATTTCAATGTGATATTTGCAACATTAGTGACCACAAGGAATGCAGGAACAATGTTTGTGACTCTTACTGCAATGGATTGTCCCACTTTCAATCAACGATGATCCTAACAATAAACTTATGCATCCCTGCAAAGGTTCCTGCAAGTTCCCATCGTTACACTGCTGTTGTATTATAAGTGGTTATACGGGCCATTGCTTTCGGCAGCGGTTATAGCAGATAATGTTGTTTCGGCCTTAAGCACGCAGTGCGCGCCGCCACGTGGTCTAGTGGCTAAGGTAGTCGGCTGCTGACCCGCAGGTCACGGGGCCGAATGCCGGCTGTGGCGGCTGCGATTCCGATGAAGGTGGAAACGTTGTAGGCCCGTGTGCTCAGATTTTGGTGCACGTTAAAGAAGCCCAGGTGGTCGAAATTTGTGGAGCCCTCCACTACGGCATCTCTCTTAATCATATAGTGGTTTTGGGACGTTAAACCCCACATATCAATCAATCAAGCACGGAGCTGCCTCTCTGAATGCTTTTGTGGCAAATTTCCCGTTTAATGACAGAGTATGAGGACATCTCCATGTAACGCCCACTGTCGTCGATTACAAAAGGGGCCTACCTTAACCGAATGCGAAATGGGCAAGAAAATCAAGTAAGGCGAAGAAACCTGGGTATAGAAAGGAACTCCCGCTTCTACACGCCAGGTACCTATTTAACATTTCGCTAAAATTATGCTGTCGTACTACATATTGCATGGGTGCCTTGAGTGTTTAATATATACCCATGAGGCTCCTTGTGTTTCAAATCGGCGGGGTTCAATTGTTTTGAAAAGGACATTGTTTGTAGAAAGATACTTCACTTTCTTTCATGATATTTCAGTAGGTCTCCTTTTCGTAGAACCCGGAATCATTCTTGATTACCGTGTTTTTTTTCGAGAAAAAAAGATTTTTTCCGCCTATTTTTATTCAGTTACGGCACGCCGCGGTGGCGGCCTTCAACAGAAGGCACACCATGTGCAAAGTTTTCCGATTTTTTAGCGCTTTTGGAAAACTGTTTCTTGTTGCAGTGACCTATTATTTGAACACCCTGCGGGAATGTTAGCAGGAAGAAATATCAGGCTATTTTTCAGGCAAGGCATTGAACTAGCCAAGCAATAACCCTACTGAAATGTTCCGTATGCGATGTTCAATAATTCCGTATGTTTCCGTAAGAATCTTACGGAAATATATGGAAAATATATGGGAAACATAAGTATTCTTTATGGAAACATATGGAATTATTGGTGTCGCATACGGAACGTTTCAGTAGGGAACCCATCTATAAGACACTGATCTTTCAGTTCGCTTTCACATTTCTTACCTCAGTCATAACACATACGACACACTGCGTAAAACAAACGAAATATGAGCCGACACAAGACAATAACCGAGACAATGTGCGCTTCTTCTAATGGCAGGCCTTGGGGTCTCGTCAATCACCCGCAATTTCAGAATTGAAATCTCATTGTGGAAAGTGCTCTGAAGAAATTTATTCCTGTAACGTTGCTCTTACCTTGGCATCATTTTTCTCCAGGAATCCCGGCCGTGGCAAAAGTGATACTCGCCATGGAAACGGGCACAATAGCTGCCAATATAAACTTTGATGAGCCTGATCCAGCATGCGATCTTTGCACGATGGCCGCATTAAAGTGGTTGACAAGCCCACGCATTTCACGGTGGCATGATAGGCATCAGCTCTCAGGGCATTGGTGGTGCAAACGCGCACGCCATCTTGGATTCCAACCTCGGCCCTCACGCTGAGAGTCTTCCACGTCAGAAGCCATATCTGCCGAGGCTTGTTCTTAGTCTGGAAGAAGCAAGGAGGCTTTAATGGTAAGATTTTGTGGTGTGTTTTCAGTGCTCGCCAAAAAAAGCAGCTGTCCAATTGCATTGATGTCCACAAAGCCGCACGTACTCATGTTGCTACAGATCAGCAAGCGCTGCTTGTTTAAGTAAATTGCCTACTTTGCTCAACAAAGGCGAATTCATTCGCTTCACTACACGCAAGTAAACATCAAACTTGAAGTGCGTTGGGTTTCTAACAGCGGGTGTCACGTTATCTGTCCCAAGGCTGCAGCTTCACAGCTTAGATTGGAAGTTTGGCAAGAGCGGAACGGGTTTCATCCTCAGTCAATGCAGCAGTCGCTTCATCTCACGCTTTTTCCTCACCCGCAAGATTCTCCGCCGAAACTTGTATAAATGTGCAGACATCTTGTAGTTCATATGAGAACACGGAGTACTGTGCCAACTGCATGAGTGAATGAATGATCTATAACTGCGTGCCAATAAATAGCATTGGTTATTAATTCTTGCATGTTTTAAGCGTATAATGTGTGAAAAAAGACGAAGTTCTCAGTGCTCAGCAGCAGTGCAATGTTACAAGGAAGGCAGGGCTGGCGAACGAGCCTGGTGAAGGGTCGCTAGTTGGCTTTTTAATTCCAGTTGCGCCAGTCTTCTATTAGAGGACCAGTGAAGAGCAATGCTAACAGTCCGTGAATACAAAACAATGTATAGTGTTGTTTTAATATGGACCTGTTCAAATCGAGCTTAATGTGCTTTCAAAATAAAGTAGACTATCAGTACCACGAACCAACACGCCCTATCTTCGTCCCCCTTCTTCTTCATGATCTTTTTGGCCACCAGGACGCATGCACTAGGAAAGAAAAAGAGCATTCATGGCTCGTTTGGGATAGTCCTGCCGTGCCGAGTGCACGAATCTCGTAAAAGAGGCTTGTCGATGTTTTTCTTGTCCCCTTATTACTCCAAGAGAGCACACTGACTGCCAAATAAAGTAAACATGCAGTTCAAGAGGGAGGTATAAGCGGTCCTGAAAAATTCAAAGCAATGTGTTTTTTTTTCCTTAGAGTGTAGGCCTGTTGATGCGACTCCAACGTTCCAGCCGAGATAACTAGTACAGAAATACAGAAAGACATTGAGATAATTAGAGAGGACAAAAAGAGAGGTATATATACAAAACTTGGTGATTTAAATGGGCAGACAGGGTGACACAAAGAAACATGCAAGTAAAAGCTGTACACAAAGATAGCAAACAAGTATATGTATAGTAGAGCATCGCAAACGGTGGGAAAGTGTAGGGAGGTTGAGGAGAAAGCAACGAAGGAGTTGAAAGGGTAAAGTGTTTCACAATCTTGTGTAGTATAATATAGCAAGGGGTGCGAAAGGAAAGAGTTATTATGAAAGAAGTATAGTGCAAAATAACGAAAAGGCCAACCACGGTAAAATACACAAAAATTAAAAAGACCTTTCGGCCCCCCACCTTGTTTACAGTGGCAGCAAATGGCGTAGTGCTCTCCTCTTATGTTTAGGGTAAACAGCCAGATAAGAAGAGCGCACTACGCCATTGGCGGTCACTGTGAACAAGGCTCCCGTGTGGGGAGCCATAAGTTTTTTTTTAAATTTTTGTGTATTTTACCTTTGTCGGCATTTTTGTTAATTAGCGCTATATTTGTCCCCGACCAGACGGGCCTCCATCGGACTCTTCACTATATGAAGGAAGGATGTAGACAACGTTGCCAGTTTCACTGCTTCGTCTTCGTCAACATCAATTTAGTCAAGTTTTCTCTTCATTAAGCAGCGAAGCGTCATCGCCAACTTCGTCAGATAATGCATTGCGGTTTCAGAGATGTCAGACAGAATATTGCTTCTTCCATATAATTCAATGCATTTTTTTTTGTTTACAACGATGACATCGTGATACTTTTGTAAATTTATAAATTTACTTTTTTTAACTCTTGGAAGTTGCTCAATTTTTCGAACGATAAACTGAATACTCTGATGGCATCTCTCAAAAACCGAGAGTAGCTACTATATTGCCTTGATTTCGAGGAAGTAGGTCTGAGTCTGTGTGAAGCTTACATAACAGCATGAGAAAGACACAGCACACACAGAAAGGATTTCACACAGCGCTGTGAGCGTTTCCTTTCTATTGGTTCTGATCTTTCTCAAGCTGATTCATAGGTTTGTACAACCAACAAGCCAAGTTGTCCGTACATCTGACTGAAGGCGTGGCGAATTCATTCGAGATAATTGCAGAAATATAAATTTAGGGGCACGTGAAATGGTTCCAAGAGGTGAACATTGTGTCCACTCTCACCACATTGGTGTTTCTTATAACAATTTCATGAACACGTAGTTGAATAAATGAAGAAAAAATACTTAGCGTTAATTACAGATGATCGGGAATAATACAAACATGGATAGAATAGCACTCTTTTACAACAATACTTTGAGTAGAGCCCAAACCTTTTTTTTCTTTCTACACAAAGGAGCCACGGTATAGAAGCACGAGTAGCCTTTACTTCTTTTGCACGCTTTAGAAAGTTTATGCACGCACCATGCGAGTTATCGTATTTTCCAGGGAATATGTGGTGCAGCAGCACGCTTGAAGACCTAATGGGCAAAGCGTTTGCAAATATAACCCAACTAACTGTCATTGTGAGCACAAACATTATTATTCTCTTTTCTCTCACTTTACAGCAAACACTGAACCGAATAGAGGCCGAGGGCCCGTACCCGGACTCCGGTTACGCCTTGCTCAACCGGATTGGTCAGCGAAGCATCAAGCAGTTTCCGTACCGAGGATTTGCCATCGTGCCAGTGGACAACATGAAAAAGGAGGTGGTGAAGGTAGTAGAGCGGGCTCGGCCAGAAAAACGACCCATCTGGTTCGTCTTCACTGGCGTCGGCTGCCAGTGGAGTGGTATGGGATGCCATATGATGCAGTTCGAACCTTTCGCTGAGTCCATCCGCAAGTCACACACCATCCTGAAGGAGAAGTCGGAGAAGACCTAATGGATATGCTGATCTCTAACGAGCCCCAGTCCAAGACAATTAAGGGACATTTTGCCTCGATTTCTGCTGTTCAGGTATCACAAGCACCACGTCACACAAAACGTTTCGCGAAAAACTGTGTGTACCAGAAATCTCTCTCTCTGTCTCTCTTTATAGCTATATATATATATATATATATATATATATATATATTATATATATATATAGATATATTTATATACATATTGAAGTAGATCCTCCGTCAGTGGTCACAACGTGGTTTATCTCGACGTTTCGGCCTAGAGTCTCGCCTTCATCAGGATTAAAGGTACAGTTTGTTGGTGCTCAGCTTTATACAATCTCAAATCAGAAGGAAAGACGAAAAAAGACAGAAAAAAGAAAAACAGAAATGGAAAATGAAAACAAAGGAGGGAAAAAAGAAAAAAAGATAAAAAGAATATAAGGTGGACTTCTCCCCCGGGCGCCCCCTTCACTCTTCCTTCCACTTGCCCCTTCATCTCTCTCCCTTTTCTCCCCTTCACCTCTCTGATGTGAGCGGTCTGTGTATGCTTCCTTTCACTAACGCATTCTTCCCGACCAGACGGCGCTTCCTGGCTCTGGCGGTTTGGTGTCCTAAAAAAGCTCTTTTTTGCCCCACACCGAACCGCGAGATGAGTCAGATTTTACATATTCAGAAACCATAGCCGCTATTCCGTCATGGTGGGGTATGTTGGTGTACAGTGAGCAGACGTCCATGGTCACCAGAAAACTGCCGCCTGGGATGTCGAGACTTGAATTTTCGCAGATGAAGGGGTTTGTGTCCTTTAGGTAATAGGGAAAATTTGGGGGGGTGTTTTTTATTAAGGAATTGATGAATTTTGATATATTTTCTGTTGATGTGCTGTTACTGGATACTATCGGACGTCCCGGTTTACCTGCCTTGTGTATTTTGGGGAGCAAACAGAATCGACCGGGAACAGAATGGGCCGGTAACATTGCTTTTAACATTTTGCCGGTAATTTTCCCTCGTCCGGTGGAGATTGTTTAGGGTTACTTTTATCTCCCTTTCAAATTCGGGAGTCGGGTCCGTTGAAAGTTCTTTGTAGAATTTGTGTCTGATAGCTGTCGTTCCCCTTCCTTTAAGTAGTCCGACGTGTTTAGGATTACTATGCAGCCCCCTCTATCAGCCGGTTTGATAGTAATTCCAGTGTTTTTTCGTAGTTCATCGAGTGCCCTTCGTTCTGACTTTGATATGTTGTTTCGAAATGGCCGATTTTTTCATACGCTCTGATGATATCTTTTTGAACTGCTGATATATACATATCGAGGTGTTTGTCCCTCTGCTCACCCGGACACCATGATTTGTCACCACCAATCATCTATTCTCGTCCGTACAGTCCTTGCGATCATGAAAGTATTCACGGAGGCGGAGATTACGCGCAAAGTTATCGAGGTCTTGGTCACTTCAAATTCATTGAATCTACCGGATGATGGACAAAAGGTCAAGCCTTTCGACGAAAGTTGAAGCTGAGCGGGTGTGAGTGTTGTGTTTTGACAGATTGGAGGACATTTCCTCATAAGTTTTCGGCTGCTCTTGGCTATCACGTGGCACGGGAGTGTCAGCGTCATATCGAGAGTAAGGATGTTTTGGTTAGAATTGCACTGTAGTTTTGAGTTCCCATTTTTCTCCTCAAAGTTAGGTTGTGGTACGGGTGGTCCCTGGCGTTCTTGTACGGCCTCATTCCTATTTCCTGTTGCAGAGCAGTGGAGCTACTGCAGTCACGCTTGAATTTTCTATCTTTTACTACTGAAATTTCGCCTCTCTTCTTTAGTTCATATCTTTCCAGTTCGCTTGCCTCATGCTCTCCGAGATTAAATACCAATTTCTGCGTGGCCTCCGTGACACTGTATTCGGCGGCCTTACGCTCACTATGGTCCGCAATGACCCGAGTCAGTTGCAAGGACGCTTCTAGTAATATTTTTTCCCACTTCCCCTTTCTGTTTCACTTAGTGTAGACATTGAGGGTTGCAGGCTAGGCGGAGGGCCCTTAGGTGAAATTTCGTGAGATAGATATTTGGTTAGTTGTTCCACGTGTTTTTCGTATTGCACCCACTTTGCAATGAGTTTCCTAATCGATAGAAATGAGTGGGACCATGCGTGTTTAAGACTGCCCGTACCTTTTGTTTCCCCGTGTCATTCGGAAGCCGCCGCCTTGGTCTTCGCCGCATTCGCACACACACATATATATATGTGTGTGTGTGAGTGTGTTGTGTGTGTGTGTGTGTGTGATTTTAGGGGTACAAGTGAAGGGACCTGTGTGATAGTGAGTTGAAAAGAAGGACCTTATGTCGTATATTGGCATTCGGTTGGGCGAGGCTCCATTAGACACAGCATTCGACAATGTAAGGCGTACCAGTATGACGTTAATGAAACGTGTTTTCGTACGTGCTTCCCTCTCTGCTATTGTGTTCTATATAGGCATGGTGGCAAAAATGGCCATGAAAACACTAAACATGGAAGTGTTTATTTTGTCATTTTTGACCATAACCTGGACTTGATCATACCTGATAAATTTAGACTAGTCTGAACTGTTGAAATCAGCACTTTTGTTGTTACTGTAACCTCCTATTTGTCCTTAAGAGGTGCGACATGGGGCCGACATAAGCATGATTTGCTCCCTATCCAGACTGAAGCTCGTTCGTAAAATATTCGCAGGGGCAGGTGTCCATTCCTTTGCGCGCTGTAGTTCTGAACAGTCCGTTGAACTTCGCTAGGAGAATCTTGCACGGCTTCGAATCACCGCAATGCACACACACCACACACACACATCGAGAAATTTATGTTTGTTCGTTTTGTTGATTATTTTTAAATTATTCATATATTACTAATTTCGATAACTTCAATGTCAAACGCCATTAGAGAAGTGAGGGTAGTTAAAACGAAACATCATGTAATTGTTGGCCGCTTTGTCAAGCAATTGTCTTCAATGACAAATTTCATTGCAGAAGTACTTGGAGTGAAATTGATGTATGTGGGGCATAGAAAAGAAGTTAATACGGGAGAAGCACACCTCAAACTATTGACGGTGGTTAGTACAGCCGGATGAATTTTATAGATCACTAATCAGTTTGTACTCGAGTTTATGGAAAGTTTAATAAAATTTTGAAAAAGCCTGACATATTAGGGCGGATGAGAAAAGTTCTGAATGTGCAGTGCATGACGATTGTTATAGTGTGCGCTCGGAACGACGACAAAGGCACAAGAACGCGAATGCTCAGGCTGTCGATACAGATTGGAAAAAAAAAAGCGGTCCAAAGACCGTACATTATGCACTCGAAACATAACTGGAAAGAAGCAGGAATGACAATTCGTAGCTGTCACGTTTTGCAGCCCGTATTGAGGGCATTTATGTATCAGCATGCACGCAATAAACGGGGCCCTGCTTCATTCCCCTATCGTGGCTTGAGAGTGCCTAACTGAGCAGAAACTACGTGTTTTTTTTTTCAGTATTCAGCAAGCAGTCAGTGGTGCTCTAAGATATAGCATTGGCGTTTTTATTAAGCCCCCTGGTGTGATGGTGTAGGTCAACATGGTATTCTTGCAGCGTGCCTATCTATCATGTGTACTCGCGCATGAAAACATTCAAGGTAATGCAGCCTAATGTCAGAGTTTGCAATAACACACTCATGGCAACGGTTCCAGCTCACCTGGAGATATAGTGGCCCTTGACATCTCAAAATTTGCGCCTAGCAAAAGAAGCATGCTTTATGACACCTAGGTGCAGCCGCACGAGCCTAGCCCCAAATCAACATGGCTGATATTATTGTGCACTTCAGTTCTAGAGTCACAGTTAAAGTTACATAGTATTGGGCAGCAAGTGGGTGTTTGTTTTACCCTTCGAAAAACATCATCTTGAAAAGCACCCTACCCAAACCACACTTTTTTTTTGAAAAGATCGCAAGAGGGAGCTGATATTAAAAGAAGGGGTCAATACACATCAGCAAACAGAGCGCCATGCCCGTAAATGACTGAAACAATTGCAACGTGGGCATAGTATACTCTCACACCATATCCTTGCGCTCTTGGGCCACCTGAAAATTGTTAGCTAAGGTATCAACTTCGAGGTGACATACCTTCCACGAATTGACGATTTTCTTGAAATAAAAGGAACGACACTGTCTAAAGGCAGCGTGGTATTTGGTTCGAAATGCTCCCATTATTTTATTATAATAAATGTCCTTTGTTTCACCCCTGAAGACACCCGAAGGGGTATGCATGAGGGAACAGACAAACAAATGAAAGCGATGGACATTTACACAACGCAAGGCGAGATTATAGAGCAACACTAAAGGGAGCTAAACTCAATAATAAAATAAAAATACCAGATACATGAAAAACATGAGTAATATAGAAGAGATGCAAAATTGACTAAGGCAAACATATATTCGGGGCGCCAAAACTTCAGTATACATAAAAAAGAATACAAATCATATAACACGAAACAGCATGCCCCATGTTTGAAACAATGGTCAACATGTTCTCGGAATCGCAAAAACTGAAAATTTTAAAATACAAAAATGAAGCTAAAATATATCCCTTGCAAAAACGACGGCAACACTGGGTGGCGGCATCCATGGTAAAGGAAGAAACCGCCACAACAAGCGTGCGTTCGCTCGGCTCCGTTCTTTTCTATTCCGCTTTTGTTATAGCAGCGGCGTCCCATGGTATTCTGCGCTGAAGTAGATGTAGCGCTCTGTCGTCGGCTTACCTCGGTAAAACTCAACTAGCTTGTCTTCATTTAGAGGCGAAAGGCAGAATGGTCACTTTCTCATCTGGTAATGGAGAAAAGAATCGCGTAGGACGCCACTGCTATAACGAAGGCGGAATAAAAAGGAACGCAGCCCAGCAGACGAACGTTTTTAAAGACGATTGTCTTTTAAAGATGATGGTCTTACTTGGGGACTTTCAACGCAAAAATTTTGGTCTCTCTGTCTGTC